GAATGTCAGCACATGAACATTTCTAATTATAAGGGAGTTTTTATCATTCCTGTTGGTTCGTAGTATCCCTTCCTCAATGAGCACAATCAAATGTTCCTCGACTACCCGGTTGAATTTTGCGGGCTTCTTGCTGACATTACAAGTTAAACCTCGATTCGTTGTCGAAGAAGGTAGATCGTGACTACTTCTTTTTGAGAATACATTGTAAAGTTTTGTACCAGTCAATTATTTCAAACTTGCTGAACTTTCGTGCAAGGGATTACAGATGTTGTACGGAACAATTAAATGGTTGTGGCCCAACCGTACCTCATTCAGCACCACACACATCGTTGAGATGACTACAAGAGGCTTTCTTAGTTGCTTTTGCATAACAGGTGACCAGCGCTACGCAAATCGTCGGGCACCAGTGCCTAACTGATCAGTACCTTATTTAGGTGTAAGTACCGATTACAAGATACATGTGAGAAAACAAATTAGGTGGTAAAAACCCACGTGGGAGCAGTTTATTGACGAGTCTGCGATCGAAGGGTTAAATTTAAGAGAAAACTTATGACTGAGCTGTGGACTGTGAAAATGTAGCTGTTAATGGGTACGAAGTATACTGATTGTTATAGCATTCTGATGTACTACTGCCCAATATATGTGCTGAGAATTCGGATATCACTAACTCAGGGGCCTCATTTTTGTTGCTGGAAAGTGTGGCTTTTATCGGTAACAGACTCAACAGCTTTCGAGTATATCAGCCACCATGCACCTCCTGAGACACTACTCCGTATTGAAAGGTCAATACTTCAGGTTTGTCACTGCCTCTCATGCTCATGAACATGCTATCGTATTTGCATCTTTCCCATTAAGCCTTCGACCGTTGCAGCTGCATGGAGATATAGCATGAGATATCACCGTTACCTCCAAACACCTCTGGTGAAAATTCTGGCAACTCCGTTTTGAGTAAACCGTACAAACAGCCGTGACCGCATGCACCAGTGGGGTACTATGATAACGAACGACTTTATGCTCTGTTTCCTCCCTTTACGCCACCGTGAATTCGGTTTTCTGTCTTGTCGATATGGAATCAAACCTCAGGGGTCTTAACTGGTTCGCGAGTCTTGGATTGACACTCTTCCAAATGTCTTGAAACCTAGCCCTGGTTGATGTACTCCCTTCCAACCTATCAAATACTCCCAAGACTGAGGCATACGTTTCCCACCAAAATGAACTGTACCTTATTCACCATTACTAGAAGTTGATGGACACTGCATTAATAAGGGGCTACACACCAGTTTCTCACTCTTCAGTTCGCCTGTCATCGTGTGAATCGGAAAGACGAGTGGTTCTCTCCGAAATCGTGGTGTTTTCTCAACTGGACTTAATGCGTCTATAGACCAACAACAATACTCCCCAGAAGCACCAAAAGATATCACCATTCTCAACAGTTGAATTTATTTCACCGAAATTACGTGATCGAATGCGATTTACAGACAGAAGTCGCCAGCGAATGTCACGAACCGTTGAAAACTAATACGTGTCAGGGGTTATATCAGTATGATTGCCTGTGATTTGTCACTAGATCAGCGCTTGCAATCCCTCGGGATATGATACACACCGCATTATAAAAGGAGTCGCTGCAGACCTTAATGGTGTCTTCATTCTTGCGGCCTCCTCGGCAGAGCCTCGAGATCTCATTGAGCAGGTGCTGCAACGAATAGACGAGAATAGATTGCGTCTCCGCGCTGAAAAATTCCACTTCTCCCTGACTCGGTGAAATATCTAGGATTCATCTTTGATGATTCTGGTCATCGCTGAGATCTGGAGAGCATCCATCTCACGATATGTGCCAGGACCAACGGGTGTTTCTACACTGCGTTCACTCTTGGGACCTATTAGTTATTGCCTCACGCTCCTTCCATCTATGCTTACGGTTAAGTCACCGTTGAATAACCTCCTTGTTAAGAATGTTCAATGGGAGTTGAATCAAGATTATCCATCAGCTTTCTGGAAACTAACGGTTATGTTATCATTCGACCTTTTACTGATGCACTTAGATCCCAGGTTGCCAAATGTTACAGCGGCAGATGCTTCTGCCTATGGGGTTGGTGCAGACATGCTACATGTTCTTCTCTATGGGAAGGAAAAAGCCACGATATGCGTCTCGAACACTGACTGCTGCGGAACGCAAAGTCAGTCGTATGGAAAGGACAGCATTGGTCCTAATCTACGCTCTATGTCATTTCCATAACTAAGTCCACGGTTGAAAATTCACTTTATTGACAGACCACACACCCGTTAGTTGTTTTTGAATCAAAGTCGACGATTCCGTCTCATCGTGTAAACCTTCTACAAAGATTGTTTTCGGTGTCACTACAGAATGATTTTGAGATCCACTATCGACGTGGTCATGGGCTGGGGTATGCAGGCGAAGATGGTCGCAATAGCAGTTTTTACAGATCCTGAAATCCATTACCTAACAGCAGCTGTCAGGGCACTTCCAGACACAGCAAGTGATGTTCAGACAGCCACATGAGAAAACAAGCAGTCACAGCCAGTTACGAATTCTGTTCTCAATCGTTGGCTGACCAAACCCCTTACTGGTGACTTACAACAGTTTTTTCGCACTCGAACCTCTCTACGTGTCATGAATGATTTTGTTATGTTCGGAAATCGAGTCATCATCTCTCCATCACTTCGCAATCAAATTCTATAGCCTTTTTATCATGGTCATCCGGGCACCGAACGGAGAAAATCAGTTGCTCGTGGCTGCGCTGGTTAACCACTGACGGACCAGCAACCCGCAGACAACGTGAATGATGTACAGGAAGTCACTTAACAGCTATGTGCCATCCATGACTACCACCGATCTCCTCGCCTCAGCCTGAATACCCATGGTCATGTGTCAGCATCTAATTTCGGAAGATGCTTACTCAAAATGGTCATAAGCCGTTCAAATCAACCCCGCAATCTTAACGAGAACCTTACAAGTTCTCTCTAGTGTTTTCTACTGCCACGGTCCGTTCGAAGCCGTCGTTTCCGACAACGACGCTTAATTCACGGGCCCAACTCAAAATTATTAAAGTCCGTAGGGGCCTGTTGGGAGTGGAAGCTGAGAACAATGCACAACGCCTTGATTCTCTAGCTCTCTCTCTCCAGCTAATTCCTACCAATCATCTAAATTGGAACAGCAGTGTTGTTCAGAGACCGCATAGCAAGGTGCCACAAGTGGACGGGGGAATCGGCTTTTTGGAGACGCGGCAATTTCATGTACCATGTCATAGTTGGATCATAGATCGGTACCCGACACATGAACCAACTACGACGGTGCGGATGTCCCGGGGAAGACACTATAACTAAGAGGCTTCCCTAGCTATCCTGGTGGATATCACGTGAAAAGCAAATTGAGAAGGCCCCAACCTTCCTGTAGGTGAAAAAACCCTACCCACCAGCCGGTCAGTTGCGGGAAAAAGGTAACGTTTCCAGACTGACCGCGAGTTACACCCTTGAAGAGAGGCAATAACTGGATTGAAAGGATCGTTCAGAAGTAGACTGATCAAAACGCACGATATACATTACCCTCTTTGTCGACTTCTTCGGGTCTTTAGTTTCAACACGAGCCCCCACATGTTTCACTGAGTCTTCTGCAATAACTAGTTGGGTTCAGAATCAACTGGTAAGACGCAGAACGTCGGTGGCTGGCAAGCTACATGTTTACATCGTTATGAGGATAAGGGTTTGAGGGTGTGATGGTTTTTCTTTTGTCGCTACTCTTATTCATGCACCTGTACTGATATCTGTCAGGTGTAACCTGCAGTCCTCTGGAAACCTGCGACTTTCTAACCATTTCAAGTCGCATGCCGCAAATTCAAGCCCGCTAAATCATTCATCTGTCCGGAGTTGGAGGCGGGAAGGCGGAGGAGATTTTATTCGCCTCTACACCAACAACAGTCAGTCTTTGAGATGTAAAGGCTACAGACCAAATAGTCTTATTTTCCCGTACCTCACCATCGACGTTAGATTGTGTTCGGTGGCCAACAACTAGTTTAGCTTCACATATCAATGGTTTTCTTATCTGGAACTTGCATGTTGAGAGGAGGGGTCACCGATTCACTTATCAGTTCAGTCAAGAGCACAATAGAGAAAAGCATTGGAATGTTCCAAATGGATGGCAAAACATATTCTTCATAGACTCATGGTGTCGAATATAGATTAATTGTTCTGTTCTCATCTCTTCTTTGGTCGCTATTTCACGGCGAAACTGCGGTGATTCAGAAACTTGGGCACGCTACTTTCCGCCTTTCAGCGTCGATATGATTTTCCTCGTTTTCATTCCCTTCAGAAATACCTAAACATATATCTATCTAATGGGATCTTTCATCTCCCAAGGTAACAGTTTGGGACAAAATACCGTTTACAGGTTGTTTAATCCTCAACCGACCAATACCATCACTCTCCCGACGGAAAGCTGTGTTGTGGGTCCAACTGCCTCAATCAGCTGGTCAGTTCCAGGTCGCTGCATCAACAGCACCTTGGGACTGCGGGTAGCTTTTTGTATTCTTCTGAATTGTACAACTAGACAGTGGCAGGTAGAGTTGGTAACTTACTTTAACTATAATAGGTTGTCCACTTTTCGCTTGACCCAAGCATCTTTATCTTGCCTTCTCCCTCTAACTACCAGTCGAAATGAGTAGCAACAATAGTCTGGCTAATTCTGGCCCCCAAAACACATCAGGTGAAGCTGGACCTGATATCCAGTGAACACTGATCATGTGCGGGATCTCACCCTTGTTTTGCTACGAGGCGAACTACGTGGCGATGAACAAATAATTGCCCGCATAGCCATGGCCCCCAAAGTGCAGTACCTGAGAACTAGTTGGGGGTATTTTTTATAGGCCCATCTCCGAAAACATCCCAGTAGTCGCAGCAGTGTCAAAAATGGGCAACCTCGTGGCTGGAATGGAGGCACTGAAAACCCCTTTAAAGGCGAAACGGAAGCACATTATGGTTATTTATGCTTCGGTTGTTATAATACACCAAAGTCCAATGGACAGAGTATCCTTCAGTCACCGGTAGTTTGATTTAGGAACTAACAAGGTCAGCATGACAGCTAGTGATGCGGATATGAGGGAATTGCAATCAAGTGCACGGAAAGTCCTCACTTCCACTAAAGATCCCCTGGAAAAACTTAAATGTCAATGTCTTTTAAGAGGAGCAAATGGCATCTTCGGGTTTGGAAGACAGTTTCGTATCATGGATGATGATGGGAGCAAATCCTTATCTAAAGAAGAGTTCAAAAAAGGCTGTCATGATTTTGGATGTAACCTTTCTCCTGAGGATGTAGATGAGCTTTTTAGAAAGCTAGATAAGGACGGAAGTGGGACGATAGTTTTTGATGAGTTTTTGCGGGCATTGAGAGTAGATCTATCAACTTCCTAAGTACTCTTTTTTAGCCTCCCTTATCGAGTGCGCGTATTGACGTTATTAAAAAGGCGTTCACCAAGATGGATAAAACTGGGGACGGGAAGATTACGGTAATCACCGCATGAAGGCGTATTTTCACGACGTTTTTACTATTTATGTGGTTGTATTTCTTCTTCTGCTTATGCTAATTAGGCTCTTGGGTCTGTTTCCAAGATATGAAAACGATTGTGCAATTCTGCGGAGAATTATTTAGTTTATGTACGAAGTGTGCATTGTAACTGGGTGTTGCCTGTAATCCGTTTTTAGCTATGTAGGAGGTAATGTACATGACTTGAGAAACGGTTAACGAGACTGGGTGCTTGTAAGTTTAGCTATAATCAAATACAACTTTTTGGGTTTAAATCAGCGCTCAAAATAACGCAGCTCACCTTGTTGCGAATCTGCAAGTATTGGCCACATATATAAACCCACCATTCTGTCTAGTTTTTTTAAAGTTTAGGTTTTAGCCAGTGAGACATTGAATCGCTATAAATCCAAAGTAAATCCCTTGTGGGCTAACAATGTGGATTTTGAATATCCACCAAGGGCCTCCATACATTTCCTTGGATTTCCGGCGAAACTGCGTTTCGTTATTACCTCAGTCTGCATCCAGAGTATCACGAGTAAGTCATTAGCCCGGAATTTGGGCGACTAGTCATGTGTATGATCTATTTAACGTAGTTCAGGCGTCAGAATGAAATTGTTTGTGAACGAGTGTAAATCATGGAGTTATATTTATCCATTTCATTATTCCTGACCCATATCAGTGACATCTGTTTATTCTTATTTAAATTGCAGCGAAATTTCACGCTAGCCTGAGGTCAATAAATAAAAGATAACCTGATGAGCTGCTGGTTGTTCTGTTGTGCTTTACCATCTATAGTAATCTGGTGTGGCTTAGGCTCAAGTAACCAGCTTGGACATAAATAGTTTATTCTGTAGGGAAGAAAATGAAAAGATGTTACGGTAATAATTTGTTTGGATCTATTAGTGAAATAACGTTTTTCTACCCTTTATTATAGACAGATGATTTACGTAACGTGTATCAAGTTAAACATGATGCCAAGTACCAATCTGGGAAGCTCACCGAAGAACAGGTCCTTAAAGAGTTTTTGAAAACTTTTGAAAGTGATAAATCTGTGGATGGTGTTGTAAGTGATTCGCCTTGAAAATATCTGTTAAACTTGTCCATTTTCAAATAGTTAAAAATCACGTTAGGGCCGTGTGGTTTTCGTAAATGTAATTGATTGTCGTAACTAACTAAATAGCATTTCTGAATGGGCTTCATAATTGTTAGTATTTTCGGTGTTAGGTGTTGCTTCAAGATTAAACTGGGCCGTTCTCAAGCTTTAGAATAGGGACCAAAGCTGTTGAACGCATCAGTCCTAGTGGTCTGAATGACAATATCAGCTAGGATTCAAAAGGATCATTTAGCACTGACCAACTTACACCATGTTTGACACTGGTAAGCTATCTGATTACTTGCGGAAGGATGAGTGTACCGCGTAGTATTTCTTTCCGTCTTATTGGAAGACTGAGACTTCGCCTCTGAAAGTGGAAGGTACGAGGTTACATGTTTTTCGTGGCGTTACGTGTGTTGGGACTTGAGTTGGCGGTGGTGAGGTCCGGCATAAAGTATTAGGTAAGTCAAATAGTAAGGTTGTTAACAGGCTGAGCTAGTTTGCTATTTTCTTTTCTCGTATTTAATAAACGCGTTAGGTTCCTAGCTCAAGGTAAAGCTTTCAATTTCTAAAGTTCGTTCAGCGGTGGTTGATGTACTAGTACATGACATTAGCGTTGTAGCCGATATTTTCAAGTTAAAAATGGAATATTCCCTAGCTGTACCATAATTTACAAGTGTTTTTCGACATCACTTCTTCGTCAAATGTCTTTTTTTAGTGATTTCTGGTGATCAGCTGTTACATCTCACAAAACCAACTTATTGTGATACTTTTTGCATTATTTCAGGTTACATGGGAGGAATTTTTGAACTACTACAGTGGTGTAAGTGCTTCCATAGATTCTGATTCTTATTTCCAATTAATGATGTGGAAGGCATACGGTTTGTAGCGTGGCCATCCTTCATACAATTTTCAATCTGAATGCCATGTTAAAACAACTTTTCTCGGCAACGTTTCCTAAATATCTATCTGATACATAGATGTCTTTATTTTTACGAGTTATATTGTGTAAAACGGGAATATTACACGGAAGTAACATTTCGATTTTGTTTTTGTTTGATATTACTTTACTACTCCACTCAAAAATTAACTTTCCACTGTTTGTTTCGTTAAAAAAGATATATTGATATAACCTTTCACTTGCTTAATACTTGTTTCCTCGAATAAAATTTTCCCTAAGGGCTGTTCTATCTCTTCCTACAAACCTACAAAAGCTGTAATCAAGAATTCTTACTTTAGCTAATGAAGTTCGTAAAGTTTCTCCGATTTTAATTAGGTGTAGAACATCTGATTATGGATTGCTTACAGTAATTACGTGACTTACTGGTTCAGAAGTTACCTAACGAATTGTTATGGTGTCTAAGAAAAGGTGACGGAAGTTTTCGATCTAGATCACATCTTACCACTGAGACGCTTACTTTATGCGAAAGTGACTCACTTTGTAGTACGAATTAGTGTAGTTAACCTATGCGGTCAATACGTTAATAATGAGCTATTCGAGTTACAAGAAACCAATAAGAATCAATTATATTCTTCAGTCAGGGGATAGTCAATAATACCATTGTTTTCATAGTGCTGGACGGTAGCCATCTAGCTCTTTCACCTTGCAGTAAAAAATGATTGAATACTAATTGACTGTCTTTAGTCTTAGTTAACCGCTCGTTATCGGGCAGGTAATTATATCCTTTGTAATAAAAATAGAAGTTTTATTCTATCAAATTCGCAGTGATAAGTCTGTAACCAGTTTGCTGGTCTTTAAAATATTCAGTCTACTTTTTGAGAATGTGCGTGATTCGAGCGCAGTAAACGAAAATTGTAAGTCCTGTTGGCTCTTATTGCTCAATGGAGTTGTGTAGATCACTTTTGCTTATAATTCGACTAGCATTCTTCGTGTGTCTGGCTAGTAAGAACTGTGTTTATGGCAATGTCAAACTAGTTTAGTTGGTCGGTTCGTTTATTTTTACTAACTTTTCGGTTGGACATCCTGATGTGCTTTACCTAGTATTTATTGGGCGGTGTTTTGTCGAAAACAATAAAGCAGTTTCTTATCAGTTTAATCAGTTTGACCATTTCGATTTCTTCACTTTCGAGGCTTGTGGGGATTCATTTATAGATTTCAGGTTGCTTAAGAATCTGAGCCACGTATGGTGCGAGACCCACGACGCTGTTGCATTGCGGAAACAGAGTTGAAGCTAATTTGAAACTGTAACCTGATGACTGAAAGTCGCCTGTTATGATCGGGGTTAACAATCCAAAGGTTGGATTTGTTAAGAACTTGCGAATATGGCGGTTCAAATCAGCTCATATTGACCACAGAAATATTGATTGGACTATAATTATGCGCCTACTTGAACCAAGTCATGAGACAAACCTGTTGCCTGAAGGCTAGTGTTATTACCTGAAGTAAACGGATTATGCTGACTCCAATCTGATCTTACTGCTCAATTGGAAGTAAAAGAACATTGCATTTATTAGCTGCTGTGTCGAAGAACAGTAAAAGTCTAAAATATATAGAATTCGTAGCATTTCTAGAGAAAACCATTAAGTTGGGGATTTGACTGATCTGGTTACTTATCGACTTTCGAAAGTTTATTTATTGGTTGATAGATTTTATGTCAAATAGTTGAACTTCCAACAGTTATTGATAACTAGATGTTCAAACCTGAGTGGAGCGGACTTGATCTCTTAATTCACTGGTTGAGAGTTGAGTACCTGAGACAGTAAATTTCAGTTACGTTCGTTGACTCTAAGCTTCATGTGATTGAATTTCTCTCGAGATCTTTTATTCAGTTTTAACTGTGTGAAATAATATAGTCCTAGCGTGCTTAAAAACCAGTTCGTTAGGTCTTTAGGCCAAAAAGAACGATGTTGTGAACTTTCAATATTCATATTTCAATACATCTCTGCAAAGTCTAGGTGTTACATAAAATAGACTTCACTTTTTGACTATTTGAAAATCGAAACACAGGACATTTTCTGTCCCTCTACTACCTGAAAAACTCAAGTCTTGAGACTGTGGGCATCGTATTCTTTGCTCTAACACCTTTATTAATGCAATATTAAGGATATTTGTTACTGATAATAATATTTTGATGACAAAGGAATGTATTAGTAATTATTTTGCCGGTAGTCTAACCAATAACGGCGTACAGTAATTGTTAGTTTTTTATTGTAAGCTACCATCCAATCTTTGGTTTGTAGGCTTGTTTTTCTTGCGGCCTCACGATATACATGTATTTAGTCAATCCATTTCAGATATTGGAATTTCCCACATCAGATCTATGTATACTTCTCTCCAATACGGGGTGCTGTCTGCAGTTCTTCATAAATGTCACTGAATGTTTACCCGGTAAACTAAGATTTTCTTCGTCTGTTAGCTGTTTTGATGAATTTTCCATAACTGTTCGACACACGCATCTTTTCGTTTGATAATGTGATAACTCAGGATTTGTTTGACTTATCGCAGATACCATGCATTTGGGAGACGTAGTGCTTTTGACTGTTTGTTCAAATTCATGATGGTCTTCATACTCTAAGTAAGTTCCGAATTCGTTGTAATAGATTGATTGTTGTTGTCTCTCATTGATTTCCTGCGGTGTAGAAGCAGTGGACATTGAACACCTTAACGAATCGCTTAGTTGTTGTGAATGTAAATTTTTGTTTTGACTAGGCTTATATTGGTGTTGTTGACTCAGCTGCTGCTTACGCCTGTACATCCAAATTAATATGACGCATAAAATAAAGTTCATCAAGAGTAGTGAACAGCAAATGAAAGTTAGTTGATTCATAGTTAGACATGATAGTAGAGAGCACTTAACTAAAAGAAATAAAATAAAAAGTCATTATTCATAGCTTTTATTTACAAAAAGGAATAAAAGTCTGTTTTTTAAATCCATTATCTACGTATTGAAATTTCTAAGCTCCTATCAAATTGTTATAAGTCAGCGTAAGCTTCTCGTACATTCCTCCCAAGTGTGACCTTGAACTTATAATATGGCTAAATACAAACAGTTGAAAATATTGGAATGTGTATAGTTTATAAGGGCAGCGACACTAGTTTGTCGAGTACTATGTGGAAGTGATGCTTGTCAAAATTGGAGGATACCGTTAGCTATGTGGACGTAAACTCAGATACACACTGACACCAAACCTGATTTCTAATTTCTGTGTTATAGTACGTTGCGCTGTTTGTAAGTATTTCAGTAAATTGGTAGCTTTTGTTTGTCGCATGCAGTAGCTAGGCGAACACTTTAAATCTATGTATGGGAGCTTTTGAGTGTGTAGTGTAGTTTATGTTCCGAGTGGATACATGAGACTAAGGTAAATATAAAATGCAAAGGCATCACCAGGAAAGTCTGTTGTATGGTAGCAAGACCAGAAGCGGTTACCGTTTTAGTGTAAAGTGCTACAGTATGATGGCTGTCCGAAGGTGAAGTTGTACTGCTGGCTGGGTGGTGTGTGACAGCGGTAAGTTGTTTCCCTTGGATGACCAGCGGTGCTACACTGATGCTGCCTTTCCGGTGGAAATGAAGAGGCTCAGAAAAGGTCTGCCCCAAAAATAGCACACTTTTTGCCGCATGGCCTTCTGGTGTCGGCGGTACGGGCTTCTATCCGGTGTTAGAACGACCGAATCGCAAAACAACAATCCCCTCTACACCTTTTCTAACCCCACTCTGCGACCATCCCCAACGATAGAAGCCTCATTCCTAGTCTCCTAAGACTCCATCACCCATTTCATATTGGAGCTTTCAACGTCCAAACTCTACGTCAAGTCGGACAGCAGGCCTCGTCTGCCAAAGCTCTAGAATCTCCAGCCATGGATGTATACTGTGTCTCTGAGACACGTATGCGGGACCTGAGTGTGGCTATTCGCTAGATCTCACTTGCCTATTTTGGTAAATCATCGAAACACCCCATGAGTATCCGGAGACCCATTTGCGAGCCCTTGTAGACTCCCTGGTGTTGGCGTAGCATTGAGTTGTTGAGCAGAAAGTTTACTTCTCGACTGGGTACTAGTCAACAGCCACGTGTTCTGTTCGGCTGAATGGATCTGTGAAAAATAAGTTTGGTGAGACCAACTGAAGCCTATTCGTAATTCCCGCCTACGCACCCACCGACTGTAGCTCGGATGATGCAATAGATGAATTCTATGAAAAGTTGCCAATTTTGCTGCAGAAAACAAAACGTCCAGATGTAGTCTTAATAGCAGGTGACTTTAACATTCAAGTAGGGATACTGAGCTGAGTCAATCGGAAAGGCATTTGGGAGATATTTACAGAAACCCATACCAATGAACTGACAACAGTGATCATCTGTTGCAGTTTTGTCCCGACAATCACTTGTTTCTGGCGTAGATTAACTTAAAGCATAGAAGGGACACCGCCTCACACGGCGTCCGCCGACATCCAACCGTCAACGAATACATATAGATTATATTGCTATAGGCCGTCATTTGAGAGGATTGCAAGTTTTGACTCCAATCACGCGCTTGTATGGGCTCATGTATATCTGCACCTTACTAGTCGCAGCAACCAAGCTGTAGTAGTCTATGATCGACTGAAAAATGAGGACGCCGAGTACGTATTTAATAATGAGTTAGCTAAGCATTTATCTGAACATGACAGGAAAACTCATCTTTAGGAAACCTGGCGTGATATTAAGTATGCTACAGAAGCAGTGGTAGAGTAAGTTGGTGACACCAAAAGGTTAGCCAGCGTAAATGTATTTCCACAGCGTCATCCGAACAAATTGATACAAGAAGACTGAATCCAGCTTACTCTGAACACAGTGAAGAAGAAGAGCAACTTAAACATTAACTAAGTGTCTTCGCAACAACCGCGAGCGTTGGTGGGTGGCGAGAGTGGGAGAGATGGGGAAGGATCAGCGTTGGGTAACACCCGGCAACTATTCCGGCATATTAAGGATAGCGGCAAAAAGAAGACGATGGTTAGTGAAACCATGACTTAAGTGGATGGGACACTGATAACCTCCCGGGACAGGCGGCTCGAACGTTGGGCGAACACTTTGAAAAACAGTTCAGCTAGCCCTGAGGGAACCTTCAGTTGACTAACATCCAGCCTGAACCTGAATGGGACGTAGATATCAATCCTCCAACTCTCTTTGAAGTTGAGAAAGCTGTGTCAAACCTGAAAGGATGTCAAGCAGCAGAGCCTGGTAGATTATCATCCGAAGTTTTCAAGATGGGGGGTAGGAAATTGCTGATTAAAATTACTGAGGTACTAGGTAGCGTATGGTAATCAGTGGTTCTGCTGTTAGACTGGTCTACTTCTCCGACCATCCCAGTCTATGAGAAAGGAAAGAAGTCTTGTGTCAACTATGGGGGAATTAGTTTGACTAATACTGTGTCCAAGATCCTAGGGTCCATAGTTATCTGACACACAACTGGGGCTCGAAACATCGAATTCGTGGAAATCAGGCAGGTTTCAGACCTGGACGGGGTCGATCATATCTTCACCCACTGGTAGGTTCTAGAACACAGGAAAACTTACCGGTGGTCGACACTTGCCATATTTCTTGACCTAAAGACAACATTTGATTCTGTAGACCGTGAAATGTTGTGACAGTGTCTGACTGTGAAGTGAGTACCGAGCAAGTATGTAGTGCTAATTAAAGTTGTCTAGCCGAACTCACACAGCCGTGTCAGGTATTATGGAGAGTTGGGATGTGAATTGACAACAACTAGTGGTGTCTGCCAGGGATGCCTACTGTCACCGTTCCTGTTTAACTTCGTTATAGACGTATTGATGAATATAACCTTAGGTACGTCTCTGACTTCGGTGGGATTGATTTACTCCCTGGAGGCTAACTGTTTTACATGATGTATGAAGACTATATTGTGCTGTTAGGTGAAGACGCTGACAATATGCAAAGTCTTGGGAACGCGTTGGGCGGAAATCTGAGTATTTGGCATGCGTTTCATACCTGTCAAATGCAAGATGATGCTTCAGTATTTGTCTCCAATTATCCTTGGGGAGTGAAGTGGTAGAATGTGTCGAGTTGCATTATACGTAAATCTCAACTCGGATGCAGCAGACCCGTTAGGCATTTGCTAAATTGCATCATTTGTTACGCACTGATGATATATCCGAAAGATATCTCGAAGGACGAGTATAAGGCGCTGTAGTCCGTTTTGTCCTGTTACATGGCTGTGAGATATGGCCGCAGTTACAGGGTTTCGATCACAGATGTCTTCCCAACATTTCCCGCGTTTGGTGGAACCGTCGTGTGAGCAATGTTTAGGTCAAGCAATGGATATTAGGGAAGTCGATTGATGAGGTTGTGAGCTGTAGACGGATGAAATGGTTTGGACATGTACTCATATCGACCCACTGCTTACCTCGACGTGCCATGCTAGGAGAGGCTGGTTTAGGTTGGAAAATGGTTCAGTGTGACCAGACGAGGGCGTGGCACCCGTCGATGAAGTCCCTTACTACTGACCTCAGCTGTTTGGAGAGGTGTAGGCTGCCTAGTTGGAGTCCCCGAGACGATAAGAATCAGTGATTAGTAACTCTTGGTAACATAGCTGGAAATTGTTCACAGTAGCACAGATATATTCACTATCTGACGTCTTAAAAGCCTAGATATTTCCGCTAACCTTGATCTTCAAGTTGTTGATTCTCTCACACAACTTTCCTTACTTTGATACCACTTTTTTTTTCTACTCACTTGCTCTTTGTATACTAATATCAAGTGTGACAACTTGAACTGATGCTCTTGTGTGCTAAGTTCTACGCTGGTTTTTTCTGTCTATGAATGTTTCCAACAAGATCTCAAGTTATATCAAAGTTCATGGTAAGCATTTATTGGAGATAAAGTTACCCACTGAAGACGTGTTCTTTCTGATGTTCAGTAATCGCTACTTGGAAGTCTTATTTTGGGCAAAACATTAATGTTATCGATTGGAATAGGTTGGTCGACCTCCGTTACAAGCCTGGTGGATTACGCTTTGGTGTTTGAAGTGGTCGTTCCCGGTTTCGAGTCTTAGTGGGAACATCATTACTTGCTAGGAGGTAGATGGAATCTAGCTGACGATTCCCAAATCGGACGAGACGCGCGTCCTGCATCCCACTGCTAGGGTAAAACACTCACTTCTCATGTTTCATATTCCACTGGTAGTTGTGGGGTTGATATCAGCTCCAGAAAATAGGTGCATTCAAACTAATTCAGCCAAGCTTTCCATACCTTTAAAACCGTAGTTTTTGGGAATTCATAATGCTCAACACAGAATGAAACAAAGTGTTGCAATAATTCAATAAATTTGGGTGTGTTTATGTATACATTCGAAAATTTAATAGGGAGGTTTATGTTTTAACGGAACAGTATAACATTTAAATGAACGCCCTTTCATCTAAATGCTCAAATATTGTTATGTTGTAATACTTTCAATTAATTTATCATTTTAACAGTAATTTTCGTTAACAAAAACATAGAGCTTCAATCAAGTATTTTTATGTTTCAGTAAAAGTATGGTCTCAAATCTAATGAAAGATTTTACATTCTTCATCATACCCAGTGTTACTATAGCTACTCTTAATTACATTTGTAGATTTTGAATGAGATAATCGAAAAGAAATGAAATAAAAAGGTCAAGTTTAAGTGTGAACATCTACTTTCGTGTCTTAACAACCATATCACGCTGGCATAATGGAATGTAAATACATGGGCGTTTACAAGTGATAAGCAACAAAGTATTACAAGTAACCAGTGACAACATACTTACGTTCAGTCATGTATCGGGTTTGGGTCGAGTATTAAACATTTTCGAAACAGGGAAAAACGGTTACCCAGTACTTTCTAGACATTGCGACCCGAAATATGAAAAAGTCATCCAAATAAAAGTATACTGGAGTGAAAAGCCAAGATCATAAAACAGTCTCGGATTACTTACCAATGAATGTAAGTCTTTCTTTCTGCAAACCTGTAACACGTAATATATCCGTTGCGTTCAGTCACTGAACTCCCACAAAGTCGTTTATGTCTACTGTAGAAAAGAGTATGTGGTTTTCGTTTATCGGTTAACACTGCTTAGTAGAGCTATTTCTCATTGGCTTGGGCATTTGACCTTCAAGCGTTGTATTCCGAGTTCGAATCATGCCCCACTTTGACCTGTGAAGCTGAGTAGTAACACCCACCTTCGTACAACAAGCGTGCCTCATACTCTAGTACATAAATACGTGCAGGTTGAGTTGAACTAATGACGTTGTCACTAACTTCACTCTGTCATAAGTAAAGTAGTGTCTGTAAGCAAAGATTTAGCAGACTGACTGATTTTTAATCCTACAGTTATAGTTTTATCCGGTTTCCCTTAAAGTTTATGCTCTTTGTGCAGGATGCATATTGTACAAGCGCTAAATTCAGTTCAGATGCTCGAAACTACTCTAATCTTTTCTATATTTACACACTAAATGGGAGATTTGGATTATGTTAAATTTTGCGTAAAAGGCAGATTCAAAGGAATACTCGAAGATGAAACCCAAACGTAACCGCCTTGTTCAGTTTTGATGCACTCATCACTCCCAGCTGAATGCTCCAATTTAATTTTATAAGGAAACTTTACTTACAGACCATAATATCAGTCATCAGTTTGTTAGTAATTTGTAGAGCATGTCGCTACGCGAGCTAATACAGCAATTTGTGTCAGCCTCAAATTCGGGTTTCAATAGACAATTTATATTTCACTTAAAGTGGTTAGTTTTGATCAGCGTAGAATTCGCAAACATCATATTACCGTACGTTATCAATCTTAAATATAAAGTTGAGGAGTAAAGAAAAGTGACATGATCTCATCTCGTTGGTGCTCATCAGCTACTTTTATTCCATAATCCTGGAGCATCAAATTATGACAGAATCTTGACATATTTTAGTTTATTGAGTGGAAGTCAAGTAATGAAAAGCAGAACTCTGAAACAACGAAGGGAAAAACTACAAATTAAAATCGAGTTGACATATATTATAATTCCCAAAAAATATTTTTCTCAGTAATAATGCACCTCAACACTGAACACTGTATTAAACTATAAGCCACACTTACTATATCGAACCGTATGATACTAACTAGACTGAATTATATAGAACAAAGTTCGAACCAGTGACACATTGCCTAAAAGTTCCATGTTAAAACCAGTGAACCGATATCCTGTCGAATGTTAGGGGCTGTGCACTGCGTGGCAGATCTTTTTTCTTCTATGTAGCTGTGAAACATGAACATTGAAAGTTGAGGATATGAGAAGGCTTCGCTTGTTCTACCACTGTACCATGGATTGTATTGTCTACTGATTGCATCAGAAATACAGAATTCACTAGTAGAGTTTTAGGTAACAGAGGCTAATCAATCGATAAAGTTTTCAAGCTTCATCGGCTCAAATGGTTGGGGCATGCGTTTCGCATGCCTAGTCAGTTTTCGCCATCGGGCTATGTTAACTAAGGTAGGTATAGGGTGGAAAAAGGTTGGGGTAAGTCAGACTAAAACATGGCATCACTGCATGAACAGTGTTGGAAAAATATAAGCTTTCTGGTTCATATCCGCGACGACTAAAATCATCGGTTGAAGACTTGAAGTTATGGCTCGGAATCGATTTCATTGGTTTAGATGCATCCACATAATATCTTTATCGCAATCGTCATACCGAATTTCATCGTTATCCTGCCCCTTCTCCTTCTCTTTAAACGGTTTCCTACTACTCCTATTTACTTTGTTCCTTATTTTTCTATGTTTCGTCTTGGTCGCTTCCACCCTTGTCTGATGTGAGGTGTCGCAACTAGGATTCTTACGCAGTAATGGTAGGTCGCATTGTGCTACTGACTAATTAATAATAAGTCGCAATACTGTATTTCCAACCCATTCTAGCCCTATATCCAACATTGGTTTACGAAACTGTTCGTTCATGCTCTTTCCAACTTAAATGGGCAAATTTGTGTTGTAAAGAAGAGTAATAATATAGTTCAAAATGACTAGTAGAATGTTATCAGTGTTGTGAAAATGAATAGAATTTACTCGACGCATGTTGTCGCAGTTATGTAAATAATAGTGTTGTGTACCATTCTGTCTTCGTTTGCATGTTAACTATGTGAATATATAGTCTGAATTGAACAGTAAAGAAAGACAAAAGCAGTACAGTTTCCAGGTTATTGTTGTGCCAGCCATATTTGTAACAGATCATGTCGTTGCAGAGGCAGATTTTCCAAAGGTGTGGAGCGAAAAGTGGTTAAAATAGTACTATGGACAGTAAGAAAGTATTTGAGCGAAATACAAATAAAAGCAGTTTAGAGTTAGAAACAAAAGATGCATAAAATGTTATCATATTTGTTACCTACTGTAAGATAAAGAATGTAAGCACCCCTACCATTGAGATTCATTCAGAACTACCCAGCCAAAAGTCTCCAACCACTAATTTCAGCCAATTTCACCGAACAAGAAACCTGCAATTTCGCACATGACTTTGAACAACAACCAAGGATTTCATCTAGTACTATGGTTCTCCAGTATAACCATCCGTATGTGATAAGAAAGATGCTTAGCTGAACTTTAATACTGACTCATAAGTAGGTATCGAACATAAATATCTCAGGAAACATTGAACCATTGTCAACCATCGTAAGGTTTGTGCCATCTTTTTCTTCTGTCAGCATGCTGTGTTGAAAGGTGGGTAGCTGTTATATGTGTGACACTTTCCAGCCACCTAAGTTAATGAATGGTTAGGAATTAATTGGTTTTTTGCACTCTGTAATTTACAATTAAGAATGAGATTGTTCACTCGGTGGTTCCACCAATTGACACAATGATGGTGGTTGCTTTTTTCCTACCACTATCCAACAACCCTTCTGGTGTGATAGAACTTCGAGGGAACAAGCTTTCCACCATCACATCTCGTTAAGCTGTAGTTATGCTACCCCGACCATTACGTCAAGGTAGCAGCTATTGGTCGGGGGGGGACTGATGTATGACTAGAACCAACAAAAGGAATTGTATGCAAATAGTATTCTATTGTTCAACTGTGCCCGAAACAGTGTTACACACAGTTGTGTCACTTAGCTTAATGGTTTCATGGAATATGTTAACCTTTATCAGCACTTGGACTTGAGTTTTATTTTGCATACAATAAAGTAATTAGTGCATACATGGCTTTTATTATACGTGATTTGATGAATTCTGCCTAGCGCAATTAAGCGCATTCTGAACGTAAGTCAAAATGGAACCTATTGAAAACTAAGTTACGTGAGCAACCACATCTATATTTAAAGTCCAAACGTAAATTACGAGTGCCTTCTGGTGAAAAGAAAATGACATGAGTGGGTTCTTTCATTAATTGGTAACACTATTTCTTTCTGTTGGAAAACAAATGCTTCGATAATGAGTAAATCTACTTGCACACCTTATGTATGTTGATGGATTTACTCACTGAAAGCGTAAGTACTAATCGTTAACCTGAATAAAGTTTTGATATTCGTTGGAACTGAGCAGAACGGATATTAATAAGGCCTGTTGTTTCAGTCAGACTTTGTCACTGAATGGTTCAGACTTATACTAATTCTCTTCATGAGTGGATCAAGTAGATGAAAATCTCCGCTAAAAAGTAACCCATGTCTCCATATTTACTGAATTATTTTTGTTTGTTATTTATCTGACAGTAGTTTTAGGTCTCATATTGTTAATACTTTCGTTATCCCATTTGGAACTGAGCTGATTACTTTTGTTCTACCGGTTTTGGACAATTAATTCTAAAGTATCTAATGCAATCCTACAGAAAGTCAGTCGCGGACCGAATTACCCTGTGGTAACAAGGCTGACTACAACATTGGGTGGCATGGATACGAATCTGAGAATGGATATCATTTGCAAGTATACCTTGCTGACTAGCTCCAACAAGCATGGAACCTAGGGTTCAGGGCTTTCTGGTTATTGCGTCCAATCAAGTAACATCCAGTGAAGTGCACCGCTATGCTGAGTCTCCTAGCTTGGTGGCCACGTTGGGAAGTGATCGATAGAATTTGGTCAACACTGAGGACCAGACAATATGAAATTGTTTGTTCTCCAGTGATCAACCAATACAATTAATGCTCACTTTGGAAAAAATCTAGCAGTTTACAGATGTATTTCCGTTGACAAGGATAAACGTAGAAGTACAGTTTGTCTATAGCCTCTGAAAATTGTATACGTGGTATCCACTTGCTGAAAAAAATGGAGTCAGTACATGCAAATCAGCCGCAGGCCAAAAATCTCCCACCAGTTAGAAAAATAACCATTGTGACGTTTCAGGGCGTACACAAAATCTGTAGTGGTGAAAGCCATTTATTTGGGTGACCATGCCATGGAAACTACAGATCTCCTAGTCGATCAAATCAGAGGTATGTTCTGCGCCAAAATCTCAAGTGAGATACTGGATAGCAAGCCTTGTGACACTATAGATTTTTTCGTGTTGCTCTTACCTTCACCTTTTTTCAAACCTTTACCACAAGCTAATGTAATTCAACTGGAAGTACTGCACTGATTTCCGAATTCATCCAATCAACTATGATTATTTCATGCATCTGTGTAGTACCTTTTTAAGTTTAAAGCATGGGGATTTATTTCAAGCCAACAAGTTGTTCGTCGATGTTGTTCAGAAACTGAAGTTAACGAATCAAAGGGATATCATCAAAACTAGGATTAAGGCAAAAGTATAATTCTGATACTTGGGAACATCATGAAGTCCCTCTTTCTGCGAAAAAAGTATCATTTACAAGTGTTAAGAACAAACAAATCCGACATGTTAGCAACACATACAAATTATATCTTGTAGTTAACCTCACAGACGG